GAGCCCCCGGCCCCCGGTTACCTTTGTCGTCCGGCCGAGGGCGTTGCTGATCGGAGTTGTGATGGCACTTCTCCACCTCCTCGGCTTCGGCATACCTGTCCCCCCGCTGTAGGGCCCTTATATAATCGCGGGGGGGTTCGATGATGAGGCTCCTTGAGAAGTTCCCGTGGCGGAGTACTGTTTGGAGGAGGGCCAGGAGGGTCCCGTCGTCAGCGCCATCAACTTTATCAGCCTCCGTTCTCCAGCACTCCAAGAAGTCCCGAAGGGTCTCCTCCTTCCTATGCCTCACTGTCAGCAAGTGGGAGAAGTGCTTCCTTGTGCGGCGCCTTCCTGCAAATTGCATCAAGAATCGCTGGGCGAGTTCTTGCCATGAGTCAATGCAGCCCTCGGGCAATCGATTGAACCATTCGTAGGCCGCCCCTCTAAGGTGGAGAGGAACCAGCGGCACAAATAATCATCTGATGCCCCCACTATCATCATACTGTTTTGGTATCTGCTGTAGTGCTCCTGGGGGTCAGTTTTTCCGTCGTAGGGCTTGATGAGTTGCCCTCGGTATTTTTCCGGGATCCAGGCCGCCAATACCCTTGGGGTAAATGGCGTCCGGGTCCGGAGCTGTATGGTGGGTTCCCCGGAGCCCTCGGTTATCTTCTTCTGCATTTCCTCCATCTTGGCCAACATCGCCTCATACTTGAGGTCTGTATGAGGGGCAGAAGTGGTGGTGTGTGCTTTGGTGGCCTCCATCTCGTCAAGCCGGCGCTAGAGGGCCGCAATGATTTCATCCCGGGGGTCCTTCGGGAGGGCCTCCGCCCCCTGCGAATGGACACGGGCCGAGTGGGCCTGGTTGATTTGGTGGCGGGCGTCGTTGGCATGGAGAGGTGCCTTGCCTTTGTCCTGAGGGGGACATCTTTCATTGGCCCTGGAGACGGATCCGCCACTTTCCTGAGGCCTCTGGAACGCCTTCCCCCCGAGGCGGTCTTGGACCCCTCGGCGGTCTTGCGCCCCTCCGAGTCTCTCGAGGGCGGAGGTCCGGGGTTGTTCTTTGTTCACGTTGTGGCGGTCCCGGGACTGGACTTCCTGGGAGGCCGTATCTTGGGCCATGACCCCCTCGACCTTCCCAATTCGGAGGACTGGGTTCCCGAGGGGGTGTGGATGAGGGGGAGGCATGACATTCTCCCCGACCTGAGGTTGGAGGGGAACCAAAGTGCTGAAGGCACCTGGATTCTGGGTGAGCGTCTGGATGAAGGCGGAAAACGCCGAGTGTACGTCGATTGTAATTACCGGAGGGCTAACTTGGTTCTCGCTCCGGTCCTTTTTCTTGGCCTCGATGTCGAGGCAGGCATCGGGAGCATTCTGTTGAATCTGATGGCGTAGGTCGACAGCCGTCTGGTCCAACCCGGCGATAACGCCGCCCCCGAGAGCCCTGTTAGAGGCTTCGGGGACGTCGACTTCGCCGAGGGCCAGGTTCCTTTCCTCAACGTTCTTGGAGTTGGCACGAGTTGTTCTCACCATTTTAGCTAGGTGTTTAGTGTTTGGCGAGGGGGAGGGTTTCTTACTTGATTATTCGACCTCTCAACGAGAGCACCAAATGATGGATAGTGTACCCGGGGGGTAGCTTATCCGAGGGGTTATTGCGGGGAATAGCTAGAGAGAAGTCAGAGCAAGTAGATAAGAGAGAGAGAGAGTATATTAGAAATGTATTCAGCGTATTTTGCTTCTCGTTTACAAATGGGGAAATGAGGTGCTATTTATAGTAGTAATAAATGCCAGCTAGGGACACGTGTCAACTGTCAAGCATCCATTGGCCGAGGCGTCACAATAACTGGTTGGCGCTGGCAATCGCATGTGGCCGCATTTAATGCGGTTGTTGGATGTGACGTCGTACTTGGTACGGTGATTCCGGCGCATGTGGAATGGATATTATGTCGGGAAAGGGGGCCCTCGGCTGCAGATGTTTAGCCGAGGGCTCTGAGTGCCGGGGACCCCCTTGTGCCGAGGGCTCTAGATGCAGAGGGCTATTGATTTTCGTCATTTTCTTCCAGTAATTATGTTTGCTTGAGTTGGTCATCCTGTGAGAATCTGGAGCCTTCGACCAGGGGGCCGAAGGCGCTCCCAATGTGCTGCGTGGGTCGCTTAGTACTTGAGGCGCCGTGATTTGGGCCTGCTGTGCTTCCTGGGCCTATTGGGCCTCCATTAGAATAGTAGGAGTCTATGGGCCGGGGGTTCCTAGGCCATATACTCCATCATTTATATTTATTTTTAGTATATTTTTAAATAAATTAAAAAATCAAATGAAAAAATACAAATGGATAATTTAAACATAATGCTTCGTATAAATTATCAAACCTAAAACCTAAAATTTGTGTTATATTACAAACCATTACATATAATACATAAAATAAAAATTTATATATGGTTGGTAAAAATACATAGTTTCTTATATGAAATATACGTAGTAGTTATAAAATATGGAAATAATGTTAAAGAATTTTTTATTTTTTATTTTGAATTTACCGTAAACGATAAATATTCCGTATTAATATAATTTTTATTATTAATTATTATTTATTTTTTTAGTGTATGTTTTTTCTCAAAATTTTGACATGTTTTAGGGTTAAGGGAGTAAATTGAGCGATTCGATCAGGTTCAAGGGCTTATTTGATCCCTTAAGTTGCCACGTCACATGCATAGTTGGCACCCTACCGGGTGACGTAGCGGTGACCAGATTGAAACCTGTAAAAAGTAAAATTTGGATCTTTTTATCGAGTTCAGGACTTCAGGGTGCGAATTGGAGTTTTTTTTGGATTCACGGGGCAAATTGAGCAATCCGGAAGGGTACGTGGACCTATTTGACCCTTTAGCCTTCTTTAACTTACTCCCTCCGTCCCTAATAACTTTGCCAAGTTTGTCTGGCACGGTGATTAATAAAGTAAAAGCTGTGTGGTTGAGGTTTGTGCAGAGGAGAGAGAATTAACTGAAACCACAAATTTGTTTACTTAAAAGGGAAAGTGGTAAAGTTAATGGGACCTCCAAAAAAGGAAAGTTGACAAAGTTATAAGGGGCGGAGAGAGTATATGATACATGCATCATTACATGGACGCATGACGTGGCGATTAAATGACGTGAAAATGTAGATTCTAGTGCTGATATTACACGATGAACGCAAAATATATCCCTGTTTAAAAAATAAAAATAAAAGTACCCAAATTTAACTAGTAAGAATAGCAATTATCCCTCCTATAAAAACTCTCAATTTGGCACACCGCATTAATTATAAATATTATTTTCTCATCTCCACACCCTAATACGTACTTTTATATATAGAAGTGTTTCACTTCATAGATCAAACATCAAAGTATAAAATCATGTTGAAGTGTACGATTATTCCTCCCCGCAAATCAAGCCAACAGGCATAGCATATACTAGTATACTACTATGATTTAATAGTACTTTAAAGTTTAAACATTCGGTTCCAATTATTAGATCACGTTTAGAGAAAAATTGAAAAAGATTTAATATAGTCAAACTTGAAGTTTTGAGATAACACATTGATCAATTAATACGAAGTGAATAACATTTTCTCGGAAGCTATTCAAAGTTACTTCTTAAAAAGATCTTAAATTTTAAAAAGCTCCAAAATAGTGTTTCACCAAAAAAACAACCAAAAGTTTTTAGAGATTTTTATTTTGTACAAAAATTAGAAAGATACTACTTATGTTTATTAAATTGGTTGTAGTTTGGTAAAAAACATAGATAGCTTTACGTGTGATGTTTTTAATTGGATTGAAATTTTCGTATCTCATCTGATTTGGTCTGATCTATTTAATTTTGGTTCAATCTAGTATGATAAAGGTATATTTGACAAGTGCCGCATATTTTATTACTATGTCTAGTCTATCTGTTCAAGACTGATCAAGTTTAATTTGCTCTGATATGAGGATCATCCCAATTAAAAACACCCTTAGTGATAAATCTTGTTCTTGTTTTGAAAAAAGAAAATTAAATTTTAGTTTTGTAATTTTTGTTAATGGTTAGACGGTTACATAGAAGTGATAGAACTCTGTCCCTAGACAGGTGTTTTTCAAAAGAAAGTTTTACCCGTTGGATGCCAATTCAACCGTTGAGTACTTTGTAGCACGCAAGCCCAATTTTAGTCGTTTAATGCGGGGTGTTTCCATTTACTTAATAATAATTTAAGCTTGTTAAAACCATTTAAATATTATCAGTTTATCACCTCAAACACAACAACATAGAACTTATGGCGATTCAAGGATAAGGGTTTCCAGAACTCCAATTTAGGCTTTGTTTGCAAATACTACTAATAAGTGCTTTTGAACTTTTTAAAGTGATTTTGGAAAAAATGTTTAATAGTAAAGGTTGATAGAGTTTGAGAAAAAAGTGATTTTGAAAAGTAAAAGATGATAGTATTTGATAAAATAAGTGTTTTTTGTGTAATTGAAAAAGTAAAAAGCAGATTTTAGCTTTTAGTTTTTAAATATTAATTTAAGTAGAAGTTGTCACTTGAAAACACTCTTTTTAGTTTTTTAAACCAAAAACTAGGAAGCGCTTTTTTTAGTAATTACAAATAAAAACTTCCAATAATTACAAATAAAAAGTAAAAATAGCATGCAAGTCCTCTTTTAAAGTGCAATTGTGGCTGGGTTTTGCCAAAAAGGCATGTGCCTAGTACTGACTACTGAGTTCTGGACTGCATTTCTAGTACTGACCCATTTTCAGGTCCGTATGGTCATAGCAGAGCAAGCGTTTGGTAGGTAAAATTCAACAATTCTTGGTGTACAAAAAAAACTCTCACGGACAAAAAAAACTCTCACAGACACGGGGTGAAATGATGTGTATAAGGTGTACAAAAGGAATTTTTGGATAAAATTTGCATATATTATCTCGCTTTTTGTTACTACATGCTTTTCAATTCTAACGACTTTAGTTTTATATGGATTTCTAGGTTAAACATTGCATATGTTTCATTGTATTAATCTAATTTACGCTTTTCTAGTATTGAACAGACATTCATCTATTATTATTGGAGAAACCTTCTTTGGATCTCATATAAACGTTTTTGCTATAAATATATGTGCACTATCTCTCAAGTTTTGTTTCATACATGATGCATCTCAAACGGTAATTGTGACATTAACATCACTTTACTAGCACTTGGGTATAAAATGGGGAACTGGGATCATCTTACATATATCAGATAGATAATCGCTTCTTATGAACAAACTTGCACATCCCTGGAGTAATCCTGTAATTGTCTCGACTCGAGAAAAAAATATCATTTAATTAGTACGTGTGCAGAACATTGAAACTGAAACCATTAGAATGCAGAGTATAAGATGTTACCTAGCATCTTGGATGAATCTGTTCTAAATACCAATGTATGTTAAAAAGTCCAACCGTTGCCCAAAGGTTAGGTGGCCGTCTCATTCTGGAAAGCATATTGGGCTTCAGCAAAGTGTGACTTCACTAGTGTAAGAGCCTTAGAGCGGTGAGAGATCTTGTTTTTCTCGTCCTTTGGCATCTCAGCGTAACTGCAAAAACACAAGAAAGTTTCAATTGGTTAGACTCTTCATGGTAACTTACCAAGTAGAACCTGGGTGCATTCATAAGAGGGCTTTTCATTTACGTCTGCTCATATCCATACGGCTGAAAGATAGGATCCCATCCAAAGTCATTCGGTCCCCTTGCTGCAACAATCTTCCCCTGAAATTTAAGCATATAATCTTCATGAATCTCTTATTCCAAAAATAGAGAATGCCAAAGAAGACAATCAAACCAAGGGCAAATTAAGAGAGAAAAAAAGTAGTATCCCAATATGCCAAATAGTCCACATAGCCACAATTGACAGAAATTCTTAGTTGATGAGGGCACTGTTTTATTGCTGTGTTATAATAATGCAATAACACTGGATCTTGTGGTAGTAACATCATACAATCTTAGTTGAGGTTCTTAAACAAACAATGTATTATACAGTAGCAAATCTAACTACCCAAAAACCTAGAAGCTTAAACTATCATGATTTTAGATTTCTTCCAATAAAAGCCCAAACATTGTCCACTGTGTTTTCTGTATTTGATGCCACTGTTTTATGTTCAGAAATGGTCTAAGATTCTGTTTTAAGATTCATGCCAACAAGAAAAGAAAGTTCAGGCGTAAATCAAATAAAAGGGTGCAGTAAAGTACTTCTGTATAAAATCTAATCGCTAAGTACTCACCTACTCAAATACTCGGACAGTCGGACATACACCTTGCCATGTAGCTTACCTGCTAATCCCGTTCTAAAAATCCCAAGCTAATTGCAGAGCACTTGGTCATTTTCGTGACTCAGTGATTCACTTTACACTGGAGAAACTCAATCATACCCAATTTTTTTTTAATTGGGAACCCTAAACTTTAAACCCTAAACCCTAAACTCTAAAAAAGCATTACAAAATCTAAGTTTGGAAGTATTAAAATTAAGATTTCACACACTAGGTTTCAGAATGTTAGATCAGAGTGGCAGATTTGTGTCTCGGTGAGTTCTTTACTGTCTTCTTCATTTTTCTTCTTTGACTTCTTACTGGGAATCCATGCTATATATATAGAAGTAGTTTGAGGCTATGAATTCGTCCTTCAATTCTTATGCTGATTAATTAAGGATATAAGTTAAAAAATAGAATTGATTAGATGATGGATCTTCTTTAAATATTTGTGATTTATTCTAGTTATTATATCTTACTCTGTATTATTTTTTACTTTGTATACATAGACATAATATTCGTACAAAATTCGAGTATTCTAAAAATATGCCCGTGACAGAGAGTAGCCCTGAGTACCAATTTAACTACTTTGGTACTTCCGCACAAACTTGTACCCACAACTTTCTCCATTCTATGATTGTGATTGTCCAAGCTTCAAAATTAGCACCAAAGGAAAGTGCTCTCTCTTCAAACTTTAAGGTGTCATTAGGTAGTGCTTTTCTCCTGTTTTCACTCTAGATAAAAAGACAACAAAATGTTTAACTGTTCTCTTTTTCAGTTTCCAAAACATATTTACAAAAGTTCGACATTGAAAACATATTTACAGTTTTTATAAATTAAAATGCTTTCTCAATAAGGCTATGTTTGGCACTCCAATTCAATCCATAATGGGTTAAATTTTTTAAATGTACTTATAATAGGTAGAAGTAGCCTAGTTGGGGTAAAAGGCTAAGTGAGTGTTTGCAATTACTTCTGCTTTAAAAAAATCAGTTTTAAAAGTAATTTTGGAAAAAGTGCTTAATAATAAAAGTTGGTAGTGTTTGAGAAAAAAATGATTTTGAAAAGTAAAAGTTGGTAGTGTTTGATAAAATATGTGCTTTTTGTGTAATAGAAAAAGTAAAAAGTAGCTTCTAGCTTTTAGCTTTTAAGTGTTTAAACTAAGCAGAAGTTGTCACTTGAAAACACTCTTCGGTTTTTTAAGCCAAAAGCTAAAAATCACTTTTTTTTTAAATTTTTGCAAAGATACCCTAAATAAGTTGAATCTGAAAAAAAGGGTTGAGTTGAAACGTTAAGATACCTAGGCACCTAGCGTTTCTATTTAAACACTTGTGTAATAGACCATGTGTTAGAATATTATTTATTGTGTTCAATTTATTTGTAAAATATTCAATGAATCTTTGTATTTAATTAGATTAGCTGAGAGAGAATTAGGCCCAATCTTAATGTGCTATAATAAGCCCACACGCCTAAAGCTTTTGTTTCCTAATTGTATTAGACAGTTCGAACATCTCTCCTATAAATACAAGCTGAGATGGCCGAAAACTGCTAAGTCTCTACACATTCTATTCCGCATATTATTCTGGTAGAGCACGTAGACTAGAAATTCTCTCTAATACGTTTGAGTACTATGTATTTTTCATCATGGATTCATCATTCTACATACACGGTATAAGTTATTGGTGAAATTCCTCTTATGCTGTTTTAGTTCTTTCTATTATTACTAGATTATTCGACTGCTGAAATCTAGGCATAATTCACACAATTGGTATCAGAGCCTCGGCGTAATTCTATTCTTAAGAATTCTTGAATTTTTGTGGAATTAATTTGATCAAAATCATAACTTTTCGTTGAATTAATTCTTAGATCTGTTCTTGGAAACTTAATGTTTTAGAAGGTTTCTGCTACAAAGAAAGCTATGGAAGAAGTATCCCAGTAAGATCAGGTTACCAATTTTTGGTCATCCGAGATCCTCAAAATTTCGTTGGTCCGAAATCATTAATTAAGGAGATCCGAGATCTCAACTCTCTGCAGGCCTTCCAAGATCCAACCTTCGAAATCTTATCCGAATTCCTAGATTTCGAAGAGACACCCGAAATCAGAAACTCGACAGTCACCCGAGATCGAAACTCTTCACACTTCCGAAATCTGAAGGCCATCCGAAATCTTCTTTCCGAAATCTGCATCCGAGTTCCTTATTTCGGAACAGTTCCGAAATCATTAGCTGAACTGAGATCAGCACGACCGAAATCATTTTTCATCCGAGTTCTTGACATAAGAAGTTCATCCGAAAACCTAAATTCGGTTCCTCATCTGAAATCTTCTGAAGCAACACAAATCCTAAAGAACAATTCTCGCCTTAAGATAAAAAACAATCATGGAAGCTTATACACTAGGAAGTGATTCATGACCCCCACTGCTAAGGAGAGGAGAATTTGCAGTCTAGAAAGTCTGTTTTCTCAATTTCATTCAAAGCCGAGACAATGGAAATATTCTCTCTTAATGAAAGACCACTCGAAGTTTGGGTTGATGTTTCAGCAATCACAACAAATAATCCTCCCACACCTGTTAGCAAAGCATTAAAATCTGAGGATGACTATTCTGAAGCTGAAAATCTTAGAGCAAAGATTGATCTACTTGCTGCCACTTGTCTGTTACAAGCCAATCCCAATGACTTGTTTTTGAAAATTGATAGTCTCGCCACTGCTAAGGACTTATGGGATACTGCTAAGGACTTATGGGATGAAATCCATCAGATCATGCAAGGCACAAATGTTGGAATCAAATCCAAACGAGCAAACACTATGACTACATACGACTCCTTTGCCGCTAGATCTGATGAGGAGCTGGAAGATACCTATCAACGTTTTCTGATGGTTCTTAACGAGATAAAGAAAATTAACATTCGGAAAACCAATATGGAAGTCAACCTTCGCTTCCTGAGGTCACTCAAACCCGAATGGAAGAAAACAGCCAAACGAATCAGACAAAACAAAGATCTCGATGAGCTGACCATCCACAATCTCTACGACTGTCTAGGAGAATTCTCTGAGGATATTCGTGAAAAGGTCAATTCTTCAAAGGGAAAGAACGTTGTTGACACTCTTGCCCTTCTGTCAACTAAAAAGAAAAGAAAAGAAAAGATCCCTAAAATTACCTTTGAAGATTACTCATCCGATGAATAGAAGAACATGTTTGATTCTGACCCTGAGATTGATGAGCTGAAGAAAGAGCTCGCTTTGCTGACTAACATGACAAGGAAGATAAACAAGAAGTTCACGAGGTTCAGAAATCCTGCTACAAATAACAAACAAACAAATTCTTCCTCATATTATTCTGAAAGAGTCAGCAAACCATCAGATAAAGCTGTCAGAAGTGACCCAATGAAGTGTTTCAAATGTGAAAAGTCTGGTGACTTTGCTAAAGAGTGTCGATCTGCCAAGAAGAAGGACTTCAACTACTCTATGTAGAAGCCACAACTTGCTAAACAAAAAGAGCTAGGGGTAGTCTTAATGGCTGAACATGATAGCTGGCTCGAAGACTCTGAAGATAGTGAGCCAGAGAATTCGGCACTGATGGCAAGGGTAACTGAATCTGGAAGCGAAAGTGATCACTCTAATGAAGAAGACAATGCTCCTACATCTGCTGAAAATGAGGTAAGTAACCTAAACTCTTTAATCTCTCAACAAAATGACAAAATGAAAGAGTTAATCACATCTCTAAAAAGAGAGAAAAACAAGATATATGAACTTGAAGACAGACTAACAAATAATCAAAAGGTTTCTAAGTTAATTAACTAAGGAATGAGATGAGAAAAACTCTAATGAACTTGAAGACAGACTAACAAATGTTAGAAGGAGCTTTTGAAACAACATGCTTAAAAGACTCATGTGATAAAGTTTCTAAGTTAGAGTCAGAAGTAACTAAGCTTAAGCAAATTGTTAGTGACTTAACTAAGGAATGAGATGAGAATAAACGACAACGTTCTGAAGCTGGTATTCGTTATGATCTAATTAACAATGAATGTGGTCAACTTTACTCTAAGATAAAGGAGTTAGAGGATATCTTAGCCAAGAAAGGTCAAACCGAACAGACAATTCATCTTTTGAATAGTAAAAGAATTTATTGTCTTAAATAGGACTAAATTGTTCCTAAAATTCTCAAATAGGAGTAGTTATAATTTATTCCCGAAATGGGATTATTATTCCAATTTTACCCTCTTATATGCGAATCGGCTTCCTCTTCTAGGCGCATCGGCTCCATCTTCTACGCACAACTTCTATCCTCCAGAAACCAACTTCTCTTCTCCCTAAATGAGCTCTGCTTTCTGCAAATCAACTTCTCTTCACTCCTAATTTCTTCTCCCACATCAGCTACTCTTTTCCGATCTGCTCATATCTCAGCTTACTAGATGATGTGCTTTTTTCTCAGCTCATCTTCTCCGGTTGAAACCTGCAACAATGAGCT